GCAGAGCAGACGTTTGAAGCTGGAGTCACTCTGCAGGTGGGACATCGCTCTCCAGACTGGTGATGTGCGGCAGGGAGCACCTCCCCAAAGGATAAACAGGACTTTCAAGGTCAGACAGCAAATTGAAGGGGTGGGAGGCAAGGAAAAGGGGGAGATATTCACCCAGTGGGAGCCTATACCCTGCTGCAGTTTGCATACTCTGTATCGTCCAACACATTGTTAAAAACTGAAAAAAAAGGCTTTGCTTTTTTTCTCCCCACAAGTTCCGAAGCGTGTGGTTTAAGAACCTTCTTGAAAGCGTGATGTACGAGGAAGCTGCTGCCTCCTCCCATCCCTGCATCGCTCACACCTCAACAGTCACCTCCTGCTTTTTTTCTAGTGAGATTGTTCTTTATCTGCCCCTAGGAGGGTTGGTTGTGTTTCCTCCACTGCTTCCGAGGTGCTCCGTGACATGCAGGAATCCTGCAGAGAGGGCTGAGCAGGTCCCCGGGCAGCGCAGTGCTGGAGCCTCCCCAGGGCAGAGCCTGCTGCCCCGGTGCTGCCCCACTGCTGCCCTGGTGCCCGTCCTAGCTGTGGGCATGGAATCGGCTGCAGCTGTGCTGGGAGCGGGGCAGCCCTGTCTGGGTGCTGAGCAGCTGGGGCGAGGGCTCTGACGTGTGCCACGGGGCACCGTGCTCGGCCGTCCCTCCTGAGGGAGCGAGCGGAGGTTCCTGCTGTAAGGCTATATTAACGCAATCCTTCTTTACTTGTTTTCCAATTAGCCTAATTGAATTCGGATTGCTTAAAAGTGGTCACTAGAGACATTTATCTTGATGGGATGACGGCCTTGAGCTCCAGCGATCCTATTAACTGTAAGAACCCAAATCCCAGGTAGGGTCCGTCCAGCAGTAGCTCCCATGTGACCTAACGCTTTAATCTGCTCCTCTTCCATGCAGCACACACGCACACGCAGACACACGCACACACACGGATGTACACACGCACACACACGGATGTGCACACGCACACACACGGATGTGCACACGCACACAGGTGTGTGCACGTCCTACACATGTATTTGTGCACACAGGTGTGTCCCCATGCACACACCTGGCACATACGCACATGCACACACGTGCAGCGGCTGCCTCTTAAGGTTCCAGCAGCCTTAGAAGAAAGGTTGTTTAGTGCAAGGCCTTGGGGAAAGACCTTTCCTTGGCCTTAGGAGTTGGAGCAGGGTCTGTGCTCTGCGTGCCCGCTCTGCTCCAGGCTCTCCCACGCTCTCTCTCCAGGGTAGGTGTCTAGGGAGCTAGGGACCCTGTGACTGTGCCCCGTCTGACCCTGCCACCTCTGCCTGCGTCCCTCCCCAGGCTGTCAGCTGCTCTCTAGGCCAGGGACAGCCAGTGCCA